GCCCCGGCCCCGCGCGGCTCTGACGGTGCCCTGCCCGGGGTCTCGGTCCCGGCTGCGGCTGCGGCACAGGCTCCCGCCCTGCCCCACCCCACCGCGTCCGGGAAGGCAGCGGGGTCGCCGCAGGAAGCCCTGGGCGCTGCCAGCCTGGCGGGGCTCTCCGCGCCGCCCCTTGCTGCTGTAGCCGAGGCGCTGGCGCTCCTGCCTCTGCGGCCTCCGCGGGGCAGAGCGGCGGGGTCTGCCCGGGCGCTCGCCCGCGCGGGGCAGGGAGGAGCCCCGGCTTGGTCGGGTGCTCGCAGGCTGCTGTGAGGAGCGCTGGTCACCAGCAGAGCTGGCCCCGTAGAGACTTAAGCAGCGGCAGGTGGGGAGCTGCCGGTCAGAAAGGCTTTGTAAGGGCAGTGGGGTGAGTGCGGCTGCGTCTTTCTGGCTGCCCCGTCTCTGCCCCCAACCACTTCGGGAGCAGTAGAGCAATAGCATCTCCGTGTCTCCAGAGCAGTGGTTCTCGGCGTCTGTAGGGTCGAGGTACCCCCAGATAGACTTAAACCCCCCCCCTTCCCCCTGAAAATACCAGCTGTTAAGTGTCTGCTGCTGTTTTGACCACAGAAAGATAACAGAGCAGTTCCTCTGAGACCCTGCAGGCCACGCTGCTTTCTGATGCTAGCTCTGGGTCTGTCGAGTCCATCCTGTTTGCACTCCTAGCAGCGTTACTGTTGCGTGGCACCCTTGACAGGACTTCAGTGCACCTGGAGGGATCCCCTATCCCTTGGCAGAGAGCTTGCAGGTCTCTGTGCTTCGGGCCTGAGCTCCTGAAGAGCCGAGTCCTCCGTTCCCCTGGGTGCCTGGGTGGGGCAGCTCTGGTTCTGCTTCACAGAACCAGCAGCTGACTTGTCCGGCGAATGCCGCGAGTCGCCTCCATCGGTGACGCAAGCCACCTTTACGCTGTGGGGCTCCTGCTGAACAAGCCTCTTCTCCCCCGGAACAGGCCTTTGTCCTCTGACCCCGTTTCTTTCCGAGTTCGCGTGGTCAGCGTCGGGGTCGGCACGCGGCCAAGCCTAGCGCAAGGAGCCCGCTCGGGATGCAGGTGTGTTGGTCTCTGCCAGTGATGTGGCTTGTGCAGGCTCATGTCTGGGGTCTCTAGTGCTAACTGGGTTCCTTTTCCCCAGATCTGACATTGAGACAGATGAAACCACCCTGCAGCGTAGGCAGAAGCAAATTGATTATGGGAAGAACACCCTGGGCTACCAGCGCTTTCTGCAGCAGGTTCCCAAGTGAGGGGTCTTTGTCTTTCATCTCCTCTTCCCATATGGGCCTGCTGGCTTTGGCTCTGGCCACAGGCACTTGGCGCAGGGGAGATGTCAGAGCTTGCTCTAGAGCAGGGGCTCCGAAACTACCCTGGGGAATATGCAAGACATCTGAGGGGTACATGAGAGAAACTGCGTAATGGCAAATTGAATTTCAATAATAATAGGCATGAAAGGGGTTAACATGTAGGGCGGGTGCTGGAGGGGCACATGGGCAGCTGGCAGATCTGGCAGGGGGCACACAAAAGAAAAAGTCTGGGAACCCCTGCTCTGGAGCAACTCCTCCTCCTCCTCCTTGCTGAACCTGCCTAAGGGCATGTTCCCCTTCCTGCCCCACCAGACGTCCCAGGGGACCGTGAGGCCGTTCTTGTCCTGTTCCTGCTAAGATAAGGGGGTCTTGCCCGAGATGGGAGGAT